ATCCCTTGGAGTTATTGATACATATGGGTTTTATATGGCATACGATACGTGATGTATGTGATACGTAAGCATCACTGGCCCCCATCTCTATTTTTACTGAATCGCTATTTTTTTTACGTACAATATCGATTGACATACCACGGATTTCGACCTTGTTTCTACCAAATAGGAGGCTCACCTCTTTCTTTAGGATGTCTAGGGCCTTCGGAGAAGAAATAAAAAGCAAATGGTCGCTTTTTGTATTCTCTAGATTTTTTTTAAATCCCCAATAATTCAATAATTTTGAAAATTTAAATGATTCTTCTTTATTTCAATTACTTCACTCGGTTCGAAAATGCGATTCTCCATTGTAAAAAAAAAATCCACCTAAAAATTTTGTATTCTAGGCTCGCACGTCTGTGTGCGACTCTCCAATAGACTACTTTATATTTCTATATTCATCCCAAACCGTTGAGCCTAGTGTGTCCGTGATATATTTTATAGACACTGAAATTTCACGCCTCGCGAATGACAATATCCCGAGGCAATTTCAACAAAAATACCGAATATCCAAAACAGTTTGTATTGGAACGCCGAGTGAGGAGAAAAATAAATAAATTCTGAATGCTAAAGATCAAAATGCGAACACGTACAACCGCATGACAGAAAAATATGGAGCGAACGGAATTCTACGGGCGTTCACTTCTCGATTGGGTCAGCCTCGAGCTCTCGACTTCATTTTATATTCCAGGAAGCGCGTACTTTCGATATATTTCGAAGAAAACCCATATGCAGGAGGGAATAAATATGTATCGATTTTCAATTTGGATGATTTTACAAGTGACAGACTGGATTTTTCCAATTTTTATCAATTTTTCATTTCACTGAAATATATGCACGGGTAAATGCCGGAAGTAATTAATTTTCCCGTGGCATTGCCAACTTGGCACTTGACTTCTCCGGTATTTTTCATGATTTTCTAAACAATACTCAGCCACATACAACGGGTTGACTTGTCTATATCGCTCGATACTCGTGGCGCCTCTGGGTTTGCATAGCAAACAACCAGGATGTCATTGTTTCTATGGTACCTGTAGGTGGATTTTACCTTCCACCTCTTCAACCCCTCCTGCCCTCCCCTCCTGCACAATGTTTATACCATCTTCACGGTAGTTGTGTCTTTCTCGTGGAGGCGTGCGAGCATTCCACTGAGTTTCTTGGCCACGTATTTTTTTTCTTTGGCACGCTATTCCTAGTTTTATATTACCGCGAACATTTGCACGGGGACACAACCGTTAAAGACATGAACAGGGAAGATTTTAATTGGGATTGCCGAAATAGTGTGGGTCAAATAATTATCACATAATCCTGAAGCGACATCCGGATATTCAACCCCCAAGATATTTTTCTCCCCATGACTGATCATCAAATGGATTTACCATTGTTTTGGCATCATCGAGATCAACCGAAATATCTCTGACCCATAAGGCAAACCTCTCGCCCGTATAATTCGACAAAGATTCATTAAGGCTGTGTCCTCTGGTACTCCACCAAAGTCAGTCAGAGTTATACGATAGGTGTGTATACCGGTAGTTGACTTTAATGGTCGCGCGCTTAAGGGATGAGATGGACGAACGGGTCGTTTCGCGAGGACATTTATAAATGACGTAGCAGTGGAAGCACAACACTATAACTGGTAAACTATCCAGCTACACCGGTACTAGTCCGCGGTAAAGAGACCGAGAGAGCAACCCGACAGAGTGGGATGGATTCGTGGGGTGGGTTATACGTTAGCACGATAGATATTGGGGTGTATTCTGCACTGGACAACCCGAGGGTTTTGGATTTTGCTATCGAGGGGGGTTAAAGGGGGGAACTCTGAGGATAGCGGTTTCAGGATAGCTGTATGTGTGTGCCTTGGTACATGCACGCTTATATGTATCCATGCGATACCATTCGAGAGGGCTTGTCTGGTAATGGCTACGGTTTATTAATGATCGGTCAGCTGGCTTGCCAGAAAACCGTATACCAAGTTGTATGCGTCGGCGAACATTCAATTGTTATAGTCTCTGAATATATTTTGAGAATATATTTGGCTGATATTCATTGTCATCGTTGGGAAAATTTGACGGAACTATTCCGAAATCGTCCCAGAACTTTCGGTAATTTTTGTCAGCATTTCCGTAATTTTTATTCAATATTTCTCTCAGTCTAGGAATTCCACATATCTGGGAATTTCTTTTTGTTCTTCTCCATTACATCAGATCATTACCGATTTTTGGTACATGTCTTTTGGTGAATTAATCCCCCCAATATGCCATCGGGATGATTCCCACAGGGTTCTATCGAGCCACTGAGATAGATGATTATGAGGTAATTTCATTGACCCTTCGAAAAGCAGTCGTCAGCGTCCTGCGTCATTAATCCGGCGAAAGGAATAGCCCCAACCGAAACTCCTGACAGAGCTCGATGCATCAACTATGCAAATGCACCGAGATTCGTTAATTCTCTTCTCACCAACCGTCATCTTTTATTGACACCGTCTCGCCCCTCAAGATTTCAATCGAACGATAGTAAATGAACATCGCATCGCGAATAACAAATGAATAACCTTGCATCCCGGCACAATGACACGACAATTGTTTGCGAACGGAGAAACAACCGTTACTCCGTCTCTCCGCGTTCTGCATGGCAATGATTTTTTTCTCTCGCTACTTCAAAAATAACTCATTGCACCAAAATGGTAAATTACTGGCCACAAAAATTGCAAAATTCTCGCAATCAAGTTAAAATCTTTTTATTGTCTCCGAATCTTGATTAAATCGGAAATTTCTAACAAGAGACTGCATTGAGTCCATGAAAGCCGAATCGCACTGATTGATGGCTTGTTCCCAAAATGATTTCTCAGCCCGTGAGAAAGAGTTCAGAGCCCGGATATTTCCAATTCTCAATTTGCCCACCCTACGTTGACCCCCCCCACCCACCCCGAAAATATATCGGCCAAAATAAAGGGTGAATTGTCTGTAACCATCGGGTTAGACGAGTGCGCCACCGTAACGGCTGGGTATCGTCGTGGCACTGTCGTAAAGTTAGCGCGGTGCGACTTGTAAATTCCCCCGTGGCGTTTTAATGGTCCACTACGGTGCATGTATTAGTTTTCAGGAACATTAATAACTCTTGCGGTGAAAGGCTATCGTCGATTAATTAGTCACTCCGGTGTTTGCGGGGGCCTTCGTTAACGCCCCAGATTCGATACCCCATACCCCTTTTCTCATCCCAGAGTTGTCGGTAGATTGCAAAGTTTTCCCGAAATGGTCATTTATACGCGATGGATTGATTAAGGTTTCATTAGACACTATCCAACACTGAAAGTTTCATTAATTGACGTGAGTTTATGGGATTGGTGATGGGAGGAATGAAAAACACGTGCTAAAGTCTCCATGTGACTTATCTATTTTTATTGGCAACATGCTAATGCCGCAATCAGAGGTATGACAGGGGGATTAGGAGCGTCCGGAAAAACACCTAATTTGTAGCCTTTCTCGGGGTATAATTCAAGCTGACAGACTGGAACCAAACGGAACGCAACTACACCAACTTGTGCAAACGATAATTATACACTTCATCCTGCCCTTACTGTTGGCCGTTTTACCTGGGCGCCTTCTCAACGCTGGGGCCCTTAAATTTGGCTTTATTTATACCCGGGGCTAATGTATTCAACGCCTGCTTTATCCGACTGGGATTAATCTTAACGAGAAACGCAAACTTATCTCGGATGCCTCACACTGCTGCAACTAGAACGCTCTTTCTTCGGTTCTAGGCGGTTCTCCGCTGGCTATAACACTGAGAAAAATTTACAAGAAAAATTCGAGTGTCGGCAGTGGAAAAATAAAAACATACCGAATACGAAAAATTCTAGTCCCCCGCGAATAATTTTTCTCCGTGTACATTTTTCCACTGGCGCAGTTTTTTCTCCCAAAAGATTTTCCTGAAAAAATCCCCCGAAAATTTATTATTGCTTAATCATATTATCTCCGGGAATTATTTAATGGGAATTTTATTTTGAAAATCCATATCGGGTGTTATGTAATTGCCGAATAAATCTTATGTGATACTTGAAAAAATCGTGAGTACATACTAAAGTAGAAAAACTTGTAGCCATCGAAAGATCCTGCACCTGTTAGCTTCGCTATTTGATCGATCGGCTTCCCCTAGTTCTCCCCTCGGTTTGCAAAAGCCTTTCGAGTAAAAAAAAAAATTGAGAGTACTTATCGGTTATGGACCTCGTGGGTAGGTGAACAACACAAAAAAAAAAATAGACGGATCGCAGACGAGAAAGGGTGACGTCCCTCGACGTCGGCCCGTTCCGCTGCTCGATATTCAGAACATAAAAATCAGCTTTATTTTTCAATGCGTCAGCCACCAAAGTGAAAACGAAAAGGATTTCTGTAAATCCGAAAATACGTGGGGATTTATTCATTTCTTTTTGACACACTGGGGAGAAATGGGGATGCTCTGGCAGCCTGACGGTTGAAATTTTCTCAAATGCTTGAAAAAATCTGTTACTACAGCTTTTACACTCGATAATAAATCCGACGGATTGTTTATTCCGGCTATTTCCTGAACGGATGAAATATTTTTTTTTCTTTAGAATTGAAAATTCTTTGAAATATTCTCATAAAATATTTCGCGCGAGTCTGCACTGATAAAACCCGAGTTTCAATTCCACTCATCTCTGCACATGTGCCAGGGGTGCATATTGCGGTTCGAATGTTTCATAAAATATTCAGTGGTCGTCGTGGTTGGGTATCAGATATCTCCTCAAAATTTCATGTTGATCGGTGGAAAGGGACCGGCGATTGAAAAGCTTTTTAAAACTTACATAACTTTACGGCCAGCGATTTGGGGTTTTGAAGATGTTATCAATAATTTCAAAGATCTAAGTGTCAATAATCCCGCAATATTTCGACTAGATAAACAATCCCACAATATTTATTAATAAATCTTCATTCTGCTTGCAGATGCAGATGCAGGAACAGGAGAATATCGTTGGAGTTGGCGATGGGTAAGTACCAAATGTCTATGCATGAGCGAATTATCCAATGGCTTGAAACCATTTCCAAACAACTGGAAGCGCCAGTTTGTCGAACAAGGAGCCCATAGTTTCGAGTCCCAAAGTCCTGGTACAAGATCACCTCGATCTTCTGGGCCCCTTTCAAGGGGCAATATACGGGGGTTAGATCTTGCGAGTAACTCCAGAGGGAAGAGTTGGCCCCTCAGGTCCGTGAGCACTCGAGTGTCCAGTAACTCGGTGTGATCTCCAACTATCCTGGATTACCAACTATTCAAGAAGAAGAGGCCATTCGGGATTATACTGGGCTAACCTCGACTTCTCTATCCTCTTCGTCACGCGAGGGGGTGACTAGGGGGTCTCTCCGATCCTTTTCAAACCTTAGGATCTGCTTTCCCGACCCCCAGAGCCTTCCCCACGACTTTGTTATACCCCATCCTCTCTCCACAACTCACTCTACTCCATTCAGCTCTACTTTACCACTCACGAGCCAATATCAATTATAAGGGAAGACAAGAGGTCGTAATCACCACCGAGCAGACCTTGACGGATCAAAAGGTGGAGGAGATTGTTGGTTAGGGATTTTCGCGATATTTTCGTTGAGTTTCTATTGATTTCTCGTAATGGGAATTGTCTCTTCAAGTGAAAATTCTTTCAAACCTATTTAGGATTTATCTCATTCTATATCAATGGAATTTTATTAAATTCCCTTTGAAAATTTTCTTATTTCCTTCATCATTCCACATCTTGTCCTGTCGTTTTGGTCTTTGGTTTGGCTAAGGTCTCGAGACAAAAATAAATACTCGGATTAACAGCGTCGCATGACGAGCCACTGACAAATTTTATCACCGTGTAGCAGCGAAAAATTTCAATTCGTAGAATAGAGAATTACCATAAAAACCGTGTGTCCCGTGTTATCGTTGAAGTTTAGTCTGGTTGTGAGCACTTCCTGTCGTCCGCCCTGGCAAATTCCCCACTACCATAACTACATATGCTCCAAGGGGCATCCCGCAAGCATAAACACATGCCATAAGGCGCTAACACACTGCGAGTGCAGACTTAAATCGCTAAAAAAAAAACCGAAAAATAAAATAATGTAGGCGATTTTTCGCGGTTAGATTGTTATCACGCATTTATAAATTCACCGGTATAGCAAAAGCCTTCGCGCGATTGCAAATCCTATTCTCGTTATCAGCACGCGAGGATCGCATATATATTAATACGAGTAAAAAAGTATGAATGGGTATGAGAGATCTGGGGAAAATTGCGTAGGGAAAAATGAGAAGAGAAAAAAATACTGTTTTCCGGTGTGTGGGCATGGCTTGACCATAACGTATGAGTATCACGGTACCCTATAGATATAGAACAAGTCCTATAACCCCATGGATTCTCATATGCACTTAGTTTTCATTGCGCTGGACCTGTCGACCGGTGTAATATAATATATCTAAGAGTCTGTGGCTCCCAGAGGGTCACGAACATTGCCATGCTCTTTTCTCGCGCATTCGGGGAAGGGAGTCATACACATAGACAAAAATATATCCTTGAGGTAATAGTTTCATGACAGGGCCCTTTCCACATATCCCTATCGGTTTTTATCTCGGGTAGTCTCTTTGAAACCATCTAAATACAAATCAATCAGTCAATCAATCAATAAAAAATTAACTGCCAACGTATTAGTCAAAATGAAACGGCGCTCGAGCGAAATTGGACTCGCGGTTTGGTACTGAATCCGGCCACATGCATTGTTTGGTTAATTTTAGCCGCATCAGAGTCTGTCGCGCTTTGTCTACCATACGAAAATCTCCACCTCGCATCCCCTCATTCTGTTCGGTATATAAACCACAACTGAACTATTCTCAATTCGAAAAAGCCGCCTTCTCTAGCGTTTAATCCACCGTTCAATCGGTGCGTTTGTATCCCATCGCGAATGTTTCAAACACGCATACCCAGATGTGCTTGAATTAGTGGAAATCACCGCTGAGAATGCTAATAATTTTTGTAATGCGACTCACCGATGTGTATGTGGCTAAGACGAATGTGACGATTGTGAGGAAAATAGAACCCGAGGGACATGTGGGGAACAGTATCTGGGTTGTTCTCGAATGTTGAACTCACTCACTGATTCATTGTTTTTTCTCTTCTGATGGATATTTTTCTCGTCGGGGGTATTGAATTTGAGGGCAGACTAAATCTCCCAATTTATCCCCAATTGTTCTATTTCAGTCTTATTAATTTCTTTCTCTCGACCAATTAATGGAGCTCATGTTGATCATTCGTGAGAGCCACTTGTCATCGTTAGAGATATCTAAATCGATTTTTATCACCGATATCATCAATAATCGATAACGCGACATGATCATCCCCAGGAATTTGTTTATTTCGATAAATTAAAATCCAAGAAACAGATACAAAGAGGATAGAAAATTCATAAAAAATTCACACATGCAATTCCTCATCCAATTCCCGGTGAATCTACACCTGACACTCTCATCCCCCCAGATAAATATTTCACGCCTCGAGTTTCACCCCTCGATATTCCGAAAAAAAAGAAAAAAAATTCGACTCCTTTTTACGAGCGTCCACTACGGAGGGGGTGACTCTCTTTTCTATTATGCTGTGATTGTTTATTGACGAAGTGGGTCCCCATACATTTTTTTTTTCGAGATGGGATAGCCGAGTGACCGGTTCGGGACATCTATTACTTTGTTGTTTGCCTGGGCTCTCGACGAGTGACGGGGGGTTGGGGTACGACGATTTCAACGGCGACCTGAGAGGGTGGAAAAGTTGGAAAGAACGGGCACAAAAAAAAAGCACGAGGAAAAAAGGGAAATATGGAAGGGGGTGGGCAGGAACGGGTCAGTTTTGGTGTCCCTGGTGTGCAATGCCCCGGGGCCATAGATCACGCAATATCAGTTGTCAGGGCGAACGGATCGCAATGGTTAGGTTACGGGACAACTCGCAGAGAGATATACACTTGGACAGTGGATACTAGCCCCAGCAAGTGCGAGCGATGACCCCCGGGAGACCTCGGGGGTGGTGAGCCATGCAAAAACTCGAGGAGAAACACTACGAAAATTTGCCTCTCTTTTTCTCTTTTTCTCTTATATCCATTTATGGCCCGAGGACACATAAAAAGGAATATGTAACGAGTTCTGATAATTCGACGACTTTTTTCGCTTCATCCGAGGAAAGGACACGAAAGTTGAAGATTTCCTTTTTTTTTTTTGAGGATGGGGGGACGATTTTATCGGGCGATCTTCCGGGGGTGGGGGATGAAGGACATCAGAGACGCCGGGTGATATTGCTTGATGGGTGACGCGGTTATGGATAGACTCCCAGCAGACCGTGAATGTGAAATTGGGGAAAAGACGATTTCGGGGATTTCTGAGGTGGTGACTTATTTATGTGATTGACCTGGGTTCTTTGGTGATGTTAAACAATATCGTTGAGGGACTCGAAATCTCATTTCTCATGTGCACATCAATTCACAATTTTCTTTTAATCAGAATTTCAATTTTTTATTTAAATTGAAAATAATTTTTTCTTCAATAACTTTTATAATTGATTTTTCTTCAACATATCCGCGGTAATTTCGGTTATTGAAATTCCTCTCGACGATGACGACTGAAAATATTTGATTGTTTTCCCGTGTTGTGTACTTTATAGCCCCTGATTTTCTCGGTTAAACTTTTTCATCCCGTCTGAACGAAGCCACCACTCGTTTCTACCCATCATCCCGACCCATCGAAAATTACAAGTGGTAGGGGAAAAGATACGTAGTACGAAAGTTTAGAGTTCAATTTACCGTAAAATTATTGACGGAAGTCTGCGCTCGCTCAAATCATAACGCTCCGTGAATTCGCGGGGCTAAAGACCAGCAGAGGAGGGGGTAAAAATAGTCACCCTTCGACCCCCCCTCTGCTCACCCACCCCCTTCAGCAGTTTCACTGGCAATTCGTTCCTCCTCGTTCCTCTCCTTCCGTATACCGAATCCCACCCCCTCTCTCGTTACATTCCATACAATTATACTATGAATCCATCTGCGTATAAAACCTTGAAATTATTCAGCGTGAAATTACCCAGCGATTTTATTCCCTTTTTCTATTTTGATTTTTCACGGTTTGACTCACTCCTTCCACTCGACTCCTTCAACTCGTTATCTATCAAAATTACGCAGCTCAAAACATTACCTCGAAGAATCGCCACAAAAAAATATTACAAGTGAATAAATTATTGTTTAAAAATATTTCAACATTAGAATATCTTGACTAGTCCAGTTGGAAGAGAAAAAATCAAACCAAAAAATTCGTAACCCATTCATGAAAACGTTATAGAGTTGTTGGCACTCGAAACAACATTGAAAGTACTCGAAAACGCCTCCTCTATCCCATAAACCTGCCCTCCACCTTCCTTGAAGTGAGACAGCCGCTGATTTTGCATCACTGCAGTATACCACAGTTGGCCACTTCAAAGGAAGCACGAGGACACAGTTTCACCCTACACTGAAACCATAAACACATCAATTAGAATTGCAAAATACATGCAGTAGAGCAAGGGGGAGGTAGGGATAGAAGTAGAAGCAACGTGAAACGACAGATAGGTAACAAAATAGCAAAAGGTTAAATTCTCCCTAGGTGTGTCACCTAACACCAAGCCAATATAAAACAATCCTAAAACCCCCAACTCTCCCACCCCTCACAGTTCTCTCTCGTTGTCCTCACCAACTTTAATGTCAGATTTATGGTGAGACAAATGGAAGAAAAACATGACTGGGCACGTGTTTATTGTCGACGTGGTACTGATGCCATTGGGTATATTCAAGCCATAGCCATGTACGTTTATATCTGCTACTTCGAGAATAAGAAGAGAAAGGAGCAAGAGAAAAAAGGAAATAACAAGAGAACGAGGGGGGGGGGGTAGACGGTGAAGGGGTGGTAGAGAGGGTACCATCTCGACATTACAGCGAGAAATTTCGTGCCGTGAGTGTGCGA